GATCTATATTGTTATAATTCTTAAGGTTAGATTATATATAATTATCAGTCATAAATATAAATTATTGATTCAGTTGTAAAATAGATGAAATTTAGTTTTGCCTTAAATCAAATATTTTAAGTTTATTAGTATACTTATAATAATAGATTCAATATATTTATTTGAAATTTAATATGTGTGTAATGGAAAGTGCTTTTCCTTAAAGGAATTGAAAAATTCAATAATCCTATATATATATATATATATATATATATATATTTGTATATTACGGAGGCGTTACGTATGTATAAAAATGAAAATTGACAATCGACCTTTAACTTGCCGTAAAGTTTTTCTTTCTCATTTGATTTTTTAAGAGACCATGTGGCACATTTAACAAAGAGTAATAATTTATTTTACTCTTACCTACTCGACCCGCATATGTATAGTATCTACTTTATAGTATAATTAACACTATAATTTTATCCTCATCTACATTGTAAAACTTTTACAGCTTTCAATATTAAAAATATTAGCCTGCTTCAATTTAATAATATCTCCTCTTGTTTTCACATTGACGCAATCACAAGACCAATATAAGACTAGTTGTAAAAATATAAAAAATATTAAAAACTGCAAGACATATTCCACATATAATTAAGTATTTATCCGTGAACTATAAATTTGCCAATATATTCTGCTTTTTATAAAATAAATTATATTCTTCATTGTACTTGAGTTATGAATGTTTATATATATATATATATATATATATATATATATATATATTTATTGCAATTGTTTGTGCCTGGCATGAATTTCATCGTGATCTTGTAAAGTTTGTAAAGTTCCGAATATTTAAACGAACATTTATTGACTTAACCATTAAATTAAAAAAAATAATCGCTCTTTTACTCATAAACGAAGTAACCAAATAGTTATTATTTTACATATTACCTAATTTAATGTTATTTAATTTTTCGTTGTCAATGCGTAACTTTCGATTACGCTTTGGATTACCAAGTGCTCCATGAATCAGTTTAAAAAAAAAAGAAAAAAAGAAGAAGGCGTAATTTCAAACATGAAACGATCCTCGTGAACCCCAAAATAAAGTAATACCAGCACGAAATAATCAATAAGCAATAATTAATAACGAGCTATGGCCCATAATCGTTTAAAAATTTCTTTCAATATCAAAGCTCGAAGATCGCACTGAAGTATCGTCGGCCGTACTCGCAATTTCGTGACTTATCTATTATCCTCTCCGCTATTGGTATATCCTCAGCTTTTACGGTGCACCGTGAAAAATTATAACTATTTATATTTAATTACCATTGGCATAATAATGTTCATTTGCCGTGCGAGTGAGCCGATACGTTTTCCCACATGGGAATTTCATCAACGGCTCGGGGTCCCAGTGGCTGTAGCCGCGCCTTGCGCAAGCGCCCGCGCGACAAATTTATGACGCGACTTCGTAGTATCTCCAGCCGGGAATATGCACCGCTACCCACGAGCGAATATCGCGATATCGGCGAACGGAAGGGAGGCAGGGGGTTATTGATAGCTATCTAAGCGTCGCGTGCTTTATGACGCAATGGATTCATTAGCAGCAGCCCGCGACTAACCTGACACGCTCGATCACTCCTCGGTCACAGTCACGATACACACGTCGCAATGCGGGACGCGAGCGCGAAATCTTCCTAGATTTATAATGCCAGCTCGACTTTGAGACCGAGTTCTTCTCAGTTCCTCAGGATCTTGCTCAATTACCTCATTGTCGCTCGTTGTGCCGAGCGGCGCTTACATACTCCATTCCCAATAAATAATAATAAATAATCTCGCCGATACTGTCCGCGCAAATTGTTCAGCCCTTCCGACCTCAGCTCCTTCGTATATATATATATATATATTTTTTTTTTCCTTCGTATATATATATATATATATATATATTTATTTTTTTCTTCTACAATTATGGGTCTGCGGTTGTTTTTGCACGAAAAATATTGGGAAGATTATAGTGAAAATATTTTTAAAAATATTTTCCCTAATAATTCTTAATCTATGAAAATCAATCTTTTTAACGTTGTTTCTAGGATTTAATCACTTTTTAAAATTACACTCAAAATCTGGCTAAACAAGCATTCCCGCTGAAGTAGTCATGCTTATTTATCCATAGAATTCTAAAAATTATCTAAATTTCAAATTTATCGTTGTTTCCCATATTCGATGATTAACAAAATTATCGTTTATTATTTTTATTGATTTCTGCCACCCTTGAGATTAAAATTACCCTCTACTCCTGTAATAAATATATAAAAAATGAGAGTTTTCAACTTTATTTAAATATTCAAATATTTTTATTTACTTAATATATGTTAATGGATAATTAGTAGTACAAAAATATTATTCTCCAACTTATAATATACGAGTTTTATTTAAAAAATATCTATCACAATACAATTGGCTCGAATCCATTCCAATAAAACATACAAATTTTATTATTATTATTATTATTATTATATATATATATATATATATATATATATATATATATATATGTATAATTATAATTATGTACTATTATTGTTTAAAAAATTAATAGAAAAGTATATTAATGAAATGGATTCTATATAAAAAATGAAAAATTTAAAAAATGTTTATATGAACCTCTCTTTCACAAATATATTCGTTTTCAATTCATAAGATGAATTCATCCAATATTACTTAATTTCTTATAAAGTAAGTTCAAGTATATTATTTTATAGATAGTTGTTCAATAATCAATAAAATATGCACTGTACATGTTCTAGTTTTTAAATTATAAAAAATATTAGAAGAAATTTTTAAATATAAAATGTTCTTAATAATTATGTTGATGAAAGTACTTGATACCATAATTTATGAAATTATATTTCTTTTAAATATACTGATAATAATAAAAGTCAATAATAATTTGTATATGCATTTATGAATTTAAGCAATGAATTTCGGATTCGTTACACATCTATTGTAATTTGCATTCTCTAAGATAACATCACAGACGAATTCCTCGTAATTTAAAATTCACATCCTGTCGTAGAAGTCAAATATGAATGTTGCATTATCAACAAAAGTAAATTTATTCTGCCGATGTTCCATACGTATGTAAATTAGTTTTCTATAGTACCCGATAATTCTTATAAAATACAGTAGGGTAAAATTACATAATATCCCGAATTAATAAAAATACATATTTAATACTTCTAAGGATGTGTTTAAATAAATTATGTCATTCTATAAATCAATTATGATAATAGGAATATATTTTTCTTTATTGGTTTATTACTAATTATTGCTATAATACAAAGTATTGCTAAATGTTGTAATAGATGATTTCACATAAGTAAATCTATCAACCAATCTACTACTCTCTAGCAATTTTTTAAAATTTTTGTTTTTGTTTTTTGTTTTTGTTTTGTTTTGTTTTAAAGATATTGCTCGTGTACTCATAAAATAAGCGTAACTTTATCCTGAAAATGAAAAATTTAATGACGATTAGCTGCATTTGGTGATAACTAAATTTCCTTTTATATCTACAATAATTAATTCAAACTCATTATTTCGATAAACTAACAGACATTTATTCGTTGAAATAAAAATTTCTAAAATTATTAAGAACTACATAAAAATACGTAATTTATGATTAATTTCTTTCTTTCTTAATATTATGGTGATATCGATTTATATCGTTCGTTTATGCTTCTTCCTTTATAATTTTATAACTTTGCTTTTAAATATAATGAAAAAAGAAATTAAAATTCCTTCAATATCCGTACGTATATAGAAATAAAATAATGATTCGAACATTTCTATTAAAAAAATCTATTACCTTTACATTACCTTTCATCCTCTATACTACTCACTGTATTTTATATCCTAAACCTGAAACATTTTTAATTTGATTAATATATATATAATACATTTCATATAAAATTATTATGATGTTACACAGAAAAGTTGATAGTGAAAATTCTTAAATAAACCCTATTAAAGCAATATATTTTAACTTTAGTATTAATGATAAACTGTTTATTATTGTTTACTAACTAATACACTAATAAATATTACTAATAAAATTACTAACTAATAAAAATTTATATAAAAATAATTCTATAGTACTTATTTGACAGATTCATGTCGAATTTATCCAAATATAATCAAATGATTTACGTGAAAAATAGATGAACTTTCAAATTGATTAAAAAATTTTTTTTCTGAACGTGAAAAGTTGAATAATAAATTATCGTGCAATTAGTTTTTTTTTTCTTTTATTTTATGAGAGTTTGAAATAATTATTTACAAAAGTATAATTAAAAGACAAACATTAATAATGTAATGACTAAGAATTTCTGGCAGACTTAATATCGATTAGTTTTTAAAATAGATTTCGGAATATTATATATTTCAATTTTACTACATATTTAGTGTGGCAATTATTCACTGTTCAATGAAAAATAATGGAAAAACGAATACTTTTAATTATTATGTAAGTATATACCAAAATGTTTAATATCTTAATTTAATTCATTAAAAACAAAACATTAATATCCATATTTGTTATGTTCTTATCATTAAGAACACATACTACAGTATCAAGAAAATTAAAATATAAAATACGTTGATATAATGTTATTTTAAATTTTTAATTTAGCTGTAAAAATATTTACATTTAGTAGAGGAATATGATTTTTTTTATTACATTTGATAATTTTTAATCTACATATAGTATATAAACTATTAAGTTTTAGCTTTGTAATAATATTTTGTATACTTTTAACTTTGTGAATTTTAAAATAAGTTTAGTTCTATAAATTTATTTACTATTTACATGCGACGAAATATTTTCTATTAGCATGAATAGTAACTTCTTTTTATTTCTTCTTCAGTTCAGTATAATTTGTAAGTACTCTCTTGCTTATTTTTTTCGCGTGAAACAATTAATTACATACATTGCAACAACAATAAGAAATTAGTTTCACAATTATCTCTTAAATTTTGTTGAATAGGCAAACAGTATTATGTTAGCAATGGAAATCCATTAGTCGGATATGATATCGAAAATGTACAAAACAACGAATATTCTTTTGCAACAGCTATCGTTGAATATAATAATTTAATACCACGATCAGATTGTATTATATGTACTGGAGCACTTATTTCCTTATATCATGTTCTAACTAGTGCGCATTGTATCGAAGATGTTCAAGATATTGTTTTTGGAGTTCTTGCTGAGTCAAATTTCTTACAGCATAATATTCTTCATCATCCGAATTGGTGGATAACTTACGACCAATGGGCTACAGTAATGAATATTGATCTTCGATATCCACAAAATGATGTTGCTGTTATAAAAGTAAAGAATTCTTTAGAAGAAATAACATGGAATTGCTAGAAAAGTGAAAGCATATAGTATAGAAATAATTAGCTTTACAGTTATAAAAATTGGAATAAAATTTTTAATTATAAATAGGAATAAATACTTTTGTACGGGCATGTGTTCACTAATTAAAAATACCGAGTCTAGTATTATGTTTAAAAATAAATAAATGCATTTTATTTCAGTTAATTCAAAGTGTTGGCAACAATGTTATTCCAGCGCCTATTTCAAATATTCAAAATTATAATGCATTATCGGGTGAAGATATTGTATTGGTGGGATGGGGCGAATCAAATGACGAAGATATACCAGACATCTTACAATCAGGAACTTTAAAAATCATAACTAACGAGGAATGCAGCAATCTGGCGTCTGAATTACAAGGGTGGAGAATTCGTATTCCCACCCGATATATATGTACAAGAGCTGATCCATTAATACGTCTTCTGGGTGTAAGTAGATCATATATACTTTTTGGTTTACAGATATTGCATTAGTATATTATATTGCATTAGTAATTTATAATAAAAAACAATATATATATATATATATATATATATACGAATGAAGAAACCAAAAACACGTTATCAAATACAAATTTAAGGATTATGGTAGAAGGCCTTAATACTCAATTCCATGCCTTTAACAAATTTCTAATACATTATTAAATAACTACAATTAAAATATTTAAGTGTCTATTAAAACTAAAACTTTTATATAGAAATTTTATATAAAAATTTTTCAGCAAACAAATGTTTTTGAACTAGCGAAATTAAGCATATACCATTAAAATATCCGAATACGAATATGAAAGTATCTAAAATAGAATGTTTGGTGTATACATAATTAATATATATACATATATATACATATATATATATATATATATATATATATATATATATATATATATATATATATATATATATTTATTTATTTATTTGATGACACTATTATACAATATTAATGCAGGCTATATATTTAATAATACATATAAATATTTTTCATTTATTCTTAATTAATTACATGTTTTAGGGCGACTGCGGGGGTCCAATTTTATATCAAGGATCAATTATAGGCGTTAGTAAAGGAGTTTTTCCAACAGATCAAGAACTTTGTGACGACGCTGTAAACTTTCACGTTGGCATTCACTATTACATCGGCTTTATTACTCATTTACTCGCTTTGTAATATAGTACAGGATATAATTTACTAACATAATATCTAATAACCTAATATAATTAACTAATAACCACGTAATATGGTAAACATTATTAATTACATACAAAAATTAATTATACATACTTATGTAAAAATACTACCGCAAATATTTGTCAGAATAATACTCTAAGCAATTAAGATTAAAGAAATTTTCATTATCGTTCTCTATTTATCCAATGCCCTTCTTTTATAATACTTTAATCAAGTTTTATGTACAATTGATGAGAAATATTCATTATCATTCTTTTTTTTTTTTAATTATTTCATTGAATTTTATCATGTAATTGCTTATGACTAATATGTATTTTGGAAAAGTATTTTAGTATCTATGTGTATCAATATGTAGAGATTTCATCAAAAGACATACATATCCTATAAGATGGACTTTTCTATTTTCGTTTAATGTTTAAAGTAGTATTGGCTATAGATTCTTAGCGTTTAGGACCGCAAAATAGCCTAAAACAAAACGCAAATCGATAAGAAAAATTTCATTCATTCTCAATACTATTTTCTACATAGTATTATTATATTATATTATATTATATTAAATACTATTAGACAATACTGACTGACAACCTTTTTAGGCGTAGTATTAATAAAAACGTATTATTACATATAAGATAATTACATATTTATAGGTCACATGAATATTAAAGATTAAATTATCCTCAAATTTCTTCGAAATAAGATTATTAAAAAATTCTTGATATTTGATAAATATAAAAATTAATTTTATTAAATAAAATTAAATCAAATTGTATGTTCATAGTACTACCAATTTCGGTAACTTTTATGTAGTTATTTATCCTGGCAAAAAGCCAAAGTGATATTGTGAAGAAAAGCAACAACACATGGCTAGCAGCGGGTAATTTTGGCATCCAAATCCAATAAGTGATCGAGAACGCAAGACGTGTCCTTTGAACAAATAAATGGACTATGTTATTATTATATCTCATATATTAAAATTAATTATAGAAATACTTATAATCTATTTATCATTTCAAACTATTTTTTTAAGATGCAAAGTTCATTAGTGCAATGGTCGTTGCTATTGATATTATGTTTTTAAGAATTTTACTAAGTAAAATACATAATCGATATATTTTAATAAATATAATAATTCATATTGTAATTGTTTGCACACAAAAAATTTACGTACAGAGAAATAATATATTGTTACTAACAAACAAAACATGATTTAAGAAAATACAATTGAAAAATGAATTTCAATAAAATGAAATTTTATTGAATGAATTGAATTTAATAATTTATAGATGTGAAATTTAATAATTTATAGATTATTTTCGAAAATGATTAGTAATTCAGAAAAAACAATGTTACTTCGACAATACACAATTATATTGAGAATTATCTTAATTTTCGATTGATTGAGTGTTTATTAGATGTGGATGGAATAGTAAAAAATTTATAACATTATATACTTTTAATTAAGATTTTCTCCATGCATCATTAATTTTAATACTACGTGCATTTATAAATATTTTCATAGAATTCTTAATTTAAATTTAAATATTTAGTCTTATTTTATAACTCCGTTTTTATTTCAAATTCAAAACTAAATAGTAATATATATATATATTAAAATTTATAAATTATTATCTATCTTTTTCGACACTTCAATAAATTCATATATTACATTTGATAAAATATAAAAAATCTCATATAAAATAAAT